TTTCTACTGCAGAGTAAAGAATTGAAACCCCAACAGTCACAATGAGTGCTGGAGCTGGCCAGTACAACAGTGATCAGTCAAACTGTGTACAATAATACAATAAAGCCTTGTGTGTTGGCAAGCAAACAGTGCATCTCCAGCGTCGTGCTGGTGCTTCCCGTGGCCGAGACATCAAAAGCTCCCATTGGCACAGATTAAATATTAGATGTGTCGTACTCGGTCCACAACAAGTGAGACAAACACAGTGAAAGTGGGTTGGGAGAGGGTTTGGTGTCCGATTATACCTGGACTCTGTAGTAGTAGTATGTGTAGTATGTGCAGTATTACTATAGGTAAGATTCCGACAACTCCTCATGAAAAGTGGTGTATATAACCAATGGTCAGTACCCAAGCTTTGCACACCATCATGCATTGCACTGAAGGGAAAATAGCAGAGCATCACAACATAAACTAACCAAGGAATTTACAATAGAAGTTAAGCTCAGTATTTATTCATAACAGAAATACACATGTGATACCAACGACTCACTGCAATGAAACATGTAAAGTTAATTATTTTTGCCATTAGCAGATGTTAATGTTCATAAAGTTTAATATGTTTAATCTCTTTGTTTTAAGAGTTTCATTTTCTTTAATAGTTATACAGTGGTATGGCAGGCAGATCATTCAGTACGAGACGGTAAAGGCGTACCTGTGATCAGCAATGTTTTTAGTTTGCTTCATCGTTTTATCACAAAAATATTCACCTGGCTCTTCATCGCTGTCTCAGCCCTCCTGCTTTACCCCAACAGCTGTGACTGGTTTTAATGTTGTGGCGGATGGGCGTACATGTTATGTCATCTGTATATATTTAGACTTTGATGGCGAATCTGTTTTTCATCGCCTGCTGACTTTGACTGATTTAATTTTATACACTGGAGTTCACACCGAGGCTGGTTTCTGAAAGTTTGTGTGTAATTCTTTGCGTTCTGAGCATTCCTCCTCAAATGTGTGTGACACTGTGAGACAGGCGCAGCACGGTTAAATAAAGCCGTGATGGAAAAGCAGAGGTATAAGTGCCGACTCATCTCATCCCCACAAACATACTTGTCAGCAGCAGAGCATTTTCAGAATATCTCAGGGATATTCCTCTAATGCTCCTCAGTGTTTGTCGTGCTCCTGCCAGGCAGGGAGGGTCAGGCAGGACTAAGAGTGGGATTACAGGAGTGCTGAGAGATACTAATAATCAGCCCAAGTGTTTCAGGCCTCCTCGCCAAGATGTGATGACAAATCGAGACTCACTTCAGCGTGCCAGTTTCCAGTCTCACCCTCACAGGCCAACATCTTCCACTACAAACCCAACCCTGAATCCTCAGCCTCAACCTCCCACACTGGTTTCATTTGCTCCATCATCCAGCGGCCCACTCCTGATAACCTTCTCAGCCAAACACTGAGTTTGGCTCATGCAGCCAGGGTAATTAATCCGCTCTGGTGGGGCCGCAGCCGAGTTTCGTGATGCTTTCGCACACCTGGGAGTGTTGGTTGGAAAAACAGGGCGTGTGGAGGGAGAGCCAAGCGTTGGGCACACGTCAGAAGCAGAGGCCACCGTGCCCTGCCCAGACGTTCCTCGCGCAGGCTCCTATTGTTCGGCTCCCGCGCTCGAGAATTCCTGTCGAGTCGAGGAGATTCCTTCACGTGTAATGGGCTATTATGTTGTGCTCGCTCTGTTGAATAGACTAATGAGTTATGCCAAAAGCTAATGTCTCAGGGGAGTTCTCTGCACAGAGCTGCGTAGCACAGACTCAGTGCCATTGTGTTCAGACCCCCCTGTCCGTTGGCATGCTGTTAACCTGATCAGTGTGCAGGTACAGTGAGGCATCTCCTTTTAGCAATTATCCTGCAGGCCTGAAAACTTAATAAAGCTACACCTGACTCATGGTGTAAAATCGAGGGCATTTAAAGGCTGAGGAGATAAGAACAGAGTCATAAAAGTAAACATGCAACAATCACGCTGATAAAAGTAATCTGACAACAAACTGTACAGTCACTGTTGTAAAAGAGCCAAAGTGATATAACATTTTTTTCAGCAGAAGTCTGTTAATATTTATATTGTCAATACTTTAGCACTTGATTTTTCCATAGCGTTATCTTACCATCAAAACATACGGTGAGCTTACTACTTTACTACTTTACCTTACTCCATTTTTACCAACCGCAGCATTAATGTAATAAGAATTTAAGTTTATGTTTTAACGACGGCCACATACATACCAATACTTAAAGACGATTAAATACATTTTAATTCCAGTTAATTTCCTTCTGAGCTGTGATGTAGCCACTTTTACACAACTACAAAATCCAAATCCTTCTGCCACCACCCAACACTGATGTTGTGCATCACCTTTATGTCATGGATTACATTCGTTAACCTGACTGAGCATGTAGAAGAATGTCTTAATGGATTGCTGTTATTGTTCATTTTCACCTGTGGAAGAAGCATTCAGATATTGCTCACCTCACCGCATGAGATCTTAACTTAATCTAAAGTTAAACACACTTATTGTTGAATTTAAAGACTGTGGTAAAAGAGGCCTGCGGTTGTTACAGCGTGTGTTTTTTGTTGTAGCTGTCTGCATATATGCTGAGTTTCATTGTATTTGTTCCATTTTTAATATGCTGAGAGTTTGTACAGCTGCTGGTTTGGCCACGTCTATCTTTCAAAATTAATTTTTAGCTCAAAGGTAGGTAAAAATGATCTAGCCCTTAGCAGGTCTTAAGATTAGGTAAATACTGCCTCAGATGAACAACAATACAGGAAATATGACAGTGTGTCAGTATTTATTTACCCAAAGCTAAGCAAGAATGCGGTGTGTGAAAAACTAAGTACACCCCAGGATTCAGTAGCTAGTGGAACCACTTTTAGCAGCAATGACTTGAACAAATTGTTTTCTTTATGACTTTAGCAGTTTGTCACATTATTGTGGAGGAATTTTGGCCCAGTCTTCTTTACATTGTTATCTTTGTTTCAGGTAATCACATATCCACAGCTCTCGTCAGGTCCTCCCACAGTATTTCAGTCGAGGGCGATTGCAACACCTTCTTTTTCAAACATTTTGTTGTAGATTTGTTGCTGGGACTTTAGAGTGCTTTGGTATACAGACGAGTTCTTCGTGGCTGCAAAATGAGCCCAAATCATCACACCTCCACCACCGTTCTTAAGTTATGTTGTGCTTGCTGATTTGCTGTGTTTGGTTTTCTCCAACTGTGATGCTGCACTGCATTATGGCCAAAGATCTTGGCTTTTGTCTCGTCTGTCTAAAACATTGTTCCAGAAGTCTTGTGGTTTGTTCAAATTGAGCTTTTTAAACCTAAGCTGTGCTGCTGTGCTCTTTCATTTGTTGTTTTTTTGCATATATTGTTGCTTCCTGCTAACCAGGGCCTGTAGCGTCAGAGATGTAAGCCTATTTTGTCTGCACATTAGTACTTCTATTTCACAGAGACATATCCATGCTTCTGCTTCCATTAACAGGATTTTTGTTTGGCTGCGCTGACCACTGCACCTGGGATTAAGTCCAGCTTTTTTGCGTGTCATCTAAACTTTCTCATTATTGTCTGAATCTTTGGTCCTGACTGTCTCCTGCAGCAGACATGCCTCCAAATTGTTTTGCAAACAAACAGTAGGTCTGTGTGGAAAATGTGACTTCAGCATTGTTATGATTGGACTCAGAGCGCGGGAGGACACAGCAGTGTTTCTTACAGCACGCCCGAGGCACAGAAACCACCGCGGATTTGTTTGCTAAATGGGCTGGATAGATAAGACTTTTCACCCAATTTGCATCGGATTGTTTTTTAGCTGCTAGTTCAAGCAGCTCTCTGATGAGTGATGGCGGAACAATCTGGGCATGCCAGTGTTTGAGCCGAACCAAGAACAACTTGTATCACGTTCATTAAAGAGCAGGGACGTGTCTGACAGATTAATCCAGCAGATTCACGCCGTTTTAATCTCTGCTTTGCAAGAATAAGTGCTTGGAGATCTTTAATGTATGATATAACTGTAGCTTTAGCTGTTTTTGTGAGTCCTGTCCAGTATTACTGTGAAGCTTATGGTGTAACGAAGCAAAGTTTTGCTTCGTTACTGAGTTTAATGCATGCATATGCATATGTGGCGTCAGGTTACAGGGTCATTCCAGAGGTAATCGACAAAATGTGGAAAAAATCAGGTACGTTTTTTTAAACTATAAGTTTAGGATGTTAATGAAGCTACATTTTATCATCATGTCACTTTGACATGTCGTGAAAGTGAGTAAAGATGGGCTGAAATGTTGCTTTTTGTCAATTAGCATTAATTTTCCTGCATGTTTTTAGCCCGAATGACTTTATACAATGCTGTTCAAAAGTCTTGAGCTCCCCATCATTTCTCTATACTTTCCTTCCAAGGAGTCTGCAGACCTAAGTCAAGGGGTGAAGCAGCGTTGTGTCTAAACGTAACAGACAACAAAGAAAGAACCAATTTTAAACTGTATCTTTAAGTGCTTTGTTTACTAGCAACCTGTTGTTTTGTACCAAAAACGTGATTTCAAACACTTATATGCATATATCTGCATGGTGTGCAGTGTGTCTTTAAAAAATTTGAGGAAACTGGATTAGTAGAGATCGAAAAGAGGACAGACCTAAAAAAACTATTTACATCAAATAAAGATCAAATCATGCAAATCGCGAAAAGACCAGGCAGAGGACCTGAGCGATGTGTCCGGCCCTTCAGATGTTCACTGAGGGGTAAAGGTGGCTGTCATGAACCCATTTTTGATGAAAGGAAATGGGGATAAACAGCTAAAGTATTCCAAATTATACAGGAGCTGGGCTTAAAAATCTGTGGTAACAGGTCTTTTTCAGTTGAATTTTTCCTGCCACAGTCTGAAGACATGGATGTTGGGTTCATTCCTGTGTTAGCCCTGCTATAGACTAGCAACCTGCGCAGGGGTGTAGGGGTGTACCCTTCTTTTTACCCTATTTGTGTCAAGTCAATTTTGGTCATGCTAAATGTTTAAAAATACTGTAACGAAGAGCTGAAGAACTCTGAAACTTTAAAATGTCAAATATCAGTCTCATGTCACTATCAGTACTAGCCCAGAAGTTCATACACTAATTTCTCTTAATTCCTTCAAAGCTGACATTTCCATGGCTCTAGGGTTTCTTTTTGCAGCAGTAATAATAGCTGGATGAATGATTTACTGAAATAAAACGAAGTTGACTCGCGAGCCAAGATTAAATTAAAAGATATGCACGGAAGCTCCTGAGAGGAGAACAGCTGCCCCTGGAGGAGGAGGAGTGGTAAAGGTCGACGAGGAGACAGCAAGCGTACGTAATGACCTGTATGTGTAATGATCATTAAAGGTGAGCCGGGAGGTCGTGGCAGGTTGGAATGAGAACTACATAAGTGTGACACGCGCTGTACTTTGCTGAGTCACTTGGTGGTAAAATGTGGAAACTTTGAGGTGGATACATAAAAGACACATCTTACAGGGTTGAACATAAACCGCGTGCTGGATGTGCGAGCTGCTGGAAGAAACCCGACGTCCACTTTCAGCTCGTTTAGAAATTGCACTGTACACACAGGTTTGTTGCCGAGATGAAAGGGCATGTTTAGCTGCGTTTGACTGCTCTTTGCCTGCACTTTCTTGTTACCTCTCAGTTTGTCTGTCTTTATCTTGTTGCTCACACTTTGCTTTCTGACTTTCCCTTTTTTTATTTACCAACTTAAAGCCCTGCATACTGAACACATGCAGCTTTCGTCCCAGTTCAGAAACTTTAATCCCACATTCATTCTTTCTTCAGCGGAAAATGAACCTTTGACGTGACAAAAAATGAAGGAGCCGATCCGTCGCTTTTAAATAAACGTATCAAATTTATTAAAGTTTGCCCAGAATTCGGCACGTTGGCGACCAATCATTTCGCAGAAATGACAAACCAAACAAACAAAGGATCGACCAATATGGCCATCTAATTACAATGTGTAAAAATGATAAATAAATAGAGAGCAGCACATGTAAGCAACAAAGTTACTGAAAACATAAATTATGATGAGTGAATGGCAAGAAATCAGTGATAACATCTGGAATACAAAAAAAAAGGCTCCCAGCAGCTGACACACAGGAGACACCCTGTTAGGTAAATACAGTTTCAGTCAGTGAAAACATGTCTCGAGCAAAGCCATGATACAAGGCACATAATCCCTTTTACTGACAGATGATCTGTTATTGCAGTTGTGTGCTAGGAAAAAGAAACTATGGCATTTTCAGAATATACAGCAGAGATTTTTTTTATTCTGTTAGAAAGATTTGAGTACATTCCTCTCTGTAATATCAGGTTCATGAAATGTTATTTGGTGTCTGTTTTTTTTTTTTGCTTTGTTTGTTTGTTTGTTTGTAAAGTCAATAAGCGTGAGTCTCTGACCGTGACATCTGAAAAGATCAATGAGTGTCCTTGATTTTTGCAGATTGTGGCCAAGTTCTCTTTTTCAGCTTGTCTCCTTTCACCCGAACTCCTTGTAATGTCTCTAACGTCATTCTGGCGTCTGAAGAAGTGCAGCCCGGTCGAGCTGTCTGTGCTCTCTGCTCTGCTGCACTCGTGAAACCGATATGGAGTCGGTTATAGCCGGCCTTATGCGGGCTACCCGCTTCCTTCCTGAGGGGCGCTGCTGCACAGAAGTCCCCGCTGGCTTTAGAGAAGGTTTAAAGCCCCTTCCTGCCTCTGTATGACAAAGTGCAGAGGAAAGCAGTCTTCTTTAGGAGGCCACGCTCTCGCCCTCCCATGCTCTCGCCCTGTGGTGCTGTCTCACCCTCCACTTCTCCAGGAACAGGCGGGTTTTCAGCGCAGCCCTGAGCGCTGGAGGCGGTGCCCGTTTATCACTGTTGTTCTTCAACCTGTAGATAAAGGCATAAAGCCATTAGACATGCAAACCGGTGACTTTGCAGATTATGTAAAAAGCAGGTGTGTGAATTGGAGCAGTCAGTCAAACACATTCAAAACAAAGTTGTTACTCCTGAGTGGTTCGAGAAGATGGATGTTTGGAGTTTTATGATTCCAATTATTAATAAGTGAGAAAGTACAGACATGTGGCGCCGCAAACTTTGAGACATGACAGCACATGAACGCGGCTCCTTTACCCACAGTTAAGCGACGTAAAGTGGCAGAGCTTACTCAAGGTGAATTCCACACGATCCTAGGAGTTTTATGGAATTTATAACGCAGCTCAGTCATCATAAGTTTCAAGGAATTCCTCGCTTGGGGGTTAATCTCTAAATTTCTGCTTCTGAACATGTGCTGGCTGTTTTTATCCTGCAGGCTCACGGGTGTTACGCTCACAAGAGCTGACATATTTCACGCTACAAAGGGACCTCGTGTTGCTGTGAGGTTGTACAGGGGCGAGTATAGAGGGTGGCCATGGGGTGGTGCACGGCCCCCTGCTGCCCCACCAGCATCAAAAGTGCTATTGGACTAGAATTGGACAAGAGTGTTAAAGCACTTTTAATTATGTATCTACAGCTTTTTACTTCTACTCCACTACATTTTTAATACAAATATAGTACTATTTACTCTATTTAGTCATTTTTTTCAAAGCTTTAATTTAACTAATGGTGATTTTTAAATATGAATCAACTAAGAAATGTTGCTCTTATTATAAATTAATATACCCAGAAGTATTTAAATTATTTAGAATCATCACCAGCTGCAGGATGAAGTAACAAACAAGAATTATTACCCACAGTATCATATATATGATTCTGTGTAGGAAGTACTTTACTTTGAGTATATTTTGATGCTAAAACCATGAGAATGTTAAGTAAGATTGTGACTTTTTCTTAAATAAAGAGATCAAATGCTTGTTTCCACTGTGCCACTTTGTCCTGTGTTATTGCACAGGGCCACATGGGAGCATGAGAACAATGCCCTCTATAGATTTCAAATCAAATATTTTGATTTCTTTCTTCTTGTTCTTTGTCCTTCCAGTCCCTCCCTATTTAAAAAAAAAAATCCTTTTAATGTCCCTGGTTGTAATTGCCACTTTATTTTGCAAATACTGCGGTGTTTATCCCTCTTTAGTGCAAGCGTGTTGTTTTACCTCTTAATCCTGTCCGTGTCTGCTGCCAGCTTGTGTTTGCGCTGCGCCCCAGCACCGTCGTCGCCCCCGGGGGAGCGAATCACCACGTCGGCCGTTGTCTCATACCTGAGAGCGGGAGCAGAAACACGCGATGAGAACAGGATCACATTTCAGTTATTCATTTTCTACACAAAACCTGTCGCCACATGTGATGGAGACAATGCAGAACGACAGACTGGGAGCGTCTTTTGGTGTCACTGTCAGTAAATATGCTTTGGCTGTGTGAAGCGCACCTGAGGCGGTTTTCAGGCCGGCAGAAGTTCAGGCAGGTGTTGTCGTTTTCCCGGACACACTGGCAGCGAGGTACGCTCCTGGGTGCGCTGGAGTCCGCGAGCGCGCGCCGCGTCCGCGGAGCGTTGCCCAGTCCGTACGAGACCACGCGCCTGGATGCGACAGAGACACAGTTAGAATCATAAAACTAAAGCAAAGAGTCAAAAACTGAAAACTAAACATGCTTAAAAACATATCAGAAGACTGTTGAATGCGATTAAATTTTGTTGTTTCGCTTTCACGTGCAAAAATACAAATAATCGGAGATTGCTTAAAGAGAGTAAAAACGCATAATTTATCGCAAAACTTCGTCAAACATCAATCTAAGCGATTTACTTTCTCTTTACACATGTTTACACGCTGCTGGAGACCACTAACCACACTTAAAAATACTTACTCAGGTGTGTTGACCCATATGATGTCCAGGTGGCAGAAATAGACGCACTCCTTGTCCTGGAACGATGCGCAGGAACAGCGTTTGGTCCGCACATGGCGCCCCTCTTTGACGGTGGAGGCAGTGAGCGCGTCTCCGGCGGGGGCCGACAGGACTGTAATTACAGCGTCGTTATCAAAACACAATCTACAAGCTATTAAACTAAAGAGAAGTTGAGACTAATCTGCATAACTGCAGGCTGGGGATGTTTTTGATTTGATTTGCTTTCACTCAGCATGGTGAGTGGTTTGCTCGGTGTTTATGGAATTTACGTAAAATTAAGTTTATAAGTGGTTGGAAAAAATCTCGCAAAAGTTACCTGTGGAGGAAATCCAGGAGTACATCACTGATAACACGGAAATCCAAACGTATATATCCATAGTTTGCAGTAAAGTAGTGCTGAAGAAAATGAATAATCCCTCAGAGGTGAGAAAACGAGCGTGTATCCCTCAGAGCGTTTCAGCGAGAGTCCTCGGAGATTCGCGCAGGAGCGCAGAAGCGTCGGTCTACAGTCTCTGTTGTCAGTGTGGGCCCACATGTGCAGCCCTTTGACTTTATAGTACAAGTGCTTCCCACCTCCCCTCCTCCCCCTGCAGCGCTGTACAGTTTTGTCCTTTGGCTTGTACCCAGACAATAATGTTTGTTAGCAGTCGGTCCCTGATAAGGGGCCGTGCAGGCCAAGTTGAGGAGTTTGAGATGCTTTGGTTCCAAGTTTGGGGGTGTGGGGAGTGTGGGGGGAGACTCCAGGCGAGTAAATGCGACCTGAGCCTTACTCATCTAGTGGTGCTCTGATTAGACAGCAGGTGGCAGTCTAGCGACAGCATTTCTGCTTTAGCAAATTCAAATTCACTGTAGACGTTTAATACATCAGCGTCAGAGGGGACTTGGGGCTATTTAGCAGAAATATAGCTGAAGCACACAGAACTACAATAAATGTTGATGCTTCACTTAAAGTGTATCAGCATGAGTTCTTTCTGAAAATTACTCAGTTTTTCCTGCATAAAAAAAATAAACCTCAATAAAGATGCCTTAGCCTTTTCTGAAAAATTAAAAAATGTCCCCAGGATTATAATAAAAACATGTCAACAGCCAGGCTTAATATTCTCAACAATTAAATACATAATGGAAGTCTTGATAAACAACAATAAGTAAGGCCTTGGTTCCCATACACGTGACTTGGTATTTAGTACTAAATATACCATTTTGTGCATTATCTGCACAAAAAGTGATGAGTGGAATTTAAAAGTGCCTTATGCCCTTTTTTAATGAGAGGATGAGTTAATTTTCTTTAGCTTTATCTTATTTGTAGGCAACAACGGTCGCAACTGATGGTGACTAGGAGGCAAACTTTGTGAAGGGGAAAAGGAGTGGTTCCTTTTCTTGTGTGAAGCAGACAACAGGTACCTGCAGATTACCAATGACCCAAAGGGAGGTAGAGATGAATTAGAAACCATCATGAAAGGTACGTGTAGGTATGTAAGGTATGTGCCTTCAGCAGGATCAGAGATTCAGGTGATGGAGAGAAACTATATGGTTTTGGAGCTTTAAAAATAACAGCTGGCAAAAACGCTGTCAAGTAAAAGTATAGCAGGCATAATAATTTTACATTCTATTGATAACGAATGCACCGTATTGTGTCTGCAGTCAAGTGAAATAGTTCTTTCAAACTACAGCAGCATAACAGCTTAAAGACACAATTTGAAAAAAGCAGTGCCATCCATACTGGCACAAAGGCTTTAAAGCAGTCAGTGTTGGTTTAGTCTCCAGCACTCTTTTTACTGCACCTCCCCAATAAATGCTACAAAAAAAAGCACCAGAACTTAGATAATGATCTCAACTTTTCTTTAGAATTGTAGTGTCTTAAATCTGACCTGTGATCTACACATTGGGGGGAAAAACCCCAAAATTAAAGCGCAAGAAAAGACTCAAAAAATTCGACTTTATTTTTATTAGTGTAAAAATTATTAGTCTAAAAATGTAAGTGTACCTTTTTTAAAATTACCTTACAATGAGTGAATATATACACTCATTGTAAACCTCTAACCATGAATACACCCACTCACTGACTAAACCTGTGAAAAACAGAGAGCAGCATGATCATTTTTAGTGGAAAAACTTTCTCACGTATTGTTTCATGACGGGAAAATAAACTCAAAGCAAGCTTAAATGGAGTATGCACCCGGTTAGACCTCTACAGCACAATGCAATTTGTTTTTTCCTTCATTTCCTACTTCAATACACATATCAATATCTAAGACTGTGAAACAGTACAAAGTATTGTCCGCTACATCCACTTAATCACAGCTTCTAATAAGATATTCCAGCATTTTCTTAAGAAGCCAGCATGTGTTCGTATTGGGACTCGTGTCGTCCACTCTCTGTATAATCTGCACGGCTGCAGATCAAAATGTTGGTCTGCTTGTTCATGAGCTGGAAAAAAGAAGTGAGTTTAATGTGAGTCATTCTCTCTGTTCTTCACAGCATTGTTTGCCTGAAACAATACATTACATAACCGAAGCAAACAGCTTTTTCTGGGGTCCCTTTGGTCATGATTTTTGCCGGAGATTAAACATCTCAGCTGATAAGTATGGCCCAAATGGAGTGTCCTATTTACAGATTAATTGTAGTCGAATTCCACATATGACATGTTTGTAGCGTGTAGGGTATTTTGTGATTGTCTGTTGTCTTGCGTCACCCCTTGCGATCACAAGTTGGAGCAGACTACTTAATCTGATGGTTTCCCTCCATCACCAGTTGTAATAAACCGTGGAAACCGAGAGGTACTTCATTTTCAGACACACTTTGCTGTGGGCAGCAGTGGAAAATTGGTCTTGTTTGCATGTGTGTGCATGCCCATAGTGGAAAAGTCTTAGGTAAAGTATCCTGTCGTGCTCTGATGCCCCTACTCAGAAACGGGCCTCGAGAGTTTCCACTGGCTGGGAAAACAAGTTTGTCCAGGAAAGAAACAAAGCAGAGGAGCTGCACCACGAGCAGATTTGTAAGGTTTGGCACTCAAGTTTAAATCATGCATGGTGTGCTTAAGCCTTTAGAAACAGCCCAGGTTTTCTTCTGTTTTGGCTCTTCGCTTCATCAGTGTAGCAGATCTTGACCTCTAGGGGTCTCTGTTTGCTTTGCTATAGCTTCACCCACAGCAGCCAGCCCTGAGGGAGGAGGGGTCTTCAGTGTGGATGGATGAGTCACCTTTCTGAATGGTGAAGAACAAGGTTATCACTGAAAACCTCTTAAGACGACAGGGAAGTTTTCCTCACTGAGGCCAGATTGCCATGTTTGAGCTCTCCATATCGTCACTTTGTTTTATTTGTATAAAATAAAATCAATTCGAAGTGCAGATCGAATTCTACTCGTTAAAATCAACAAATTGCAATATTTAGGGAATGTTTATCATTAAAGAGTGGTAGTAAGTGATACATTTAAAAAAAAAAAGGAAAGGAAAAAAAAGATTGAACTATGGTTCAAGATTGTTGCAGTATTTTTTCATCATTTAACACAGCCCAGTGAGCATGCTGATTTTCATTCTGCTCAGGTCTATGCAAAGGTTAGAACACAGAACAGTGCTGAAGCAAACGTGTGCAACATCATCTTTCTGAGAGGTAAGAAACTAAAGTCTGAACACTGAAAACAAACATAACCACCTACTTGTAATTTAAGAAGCTCCATTTTTGGCTCTGCAGAGCATATTTTCATGGTTTAAACTATTAAGATTAATATGTGTGCTTCACATGGCAGTTTGATGTAATTGCTTTGGGGCACCAGATATTAATGACACGCATTTAATGTGTTCATTTCGTAATGAAATCCCTTTGGGCAAGTGGGTTATTTTATTTGCAGTTGTAACAAACAGTTTGCTGCTCATTAATTCATCTTTCAGATCTTTTCCTGTTTGGTCTGCAAAACTTTCCGAGTTTATTTTAAAAGTCGAAAAACCCTAAAAACCAAGCTTATCATTGCAAATCCAGTTCTGTTTTAAAACATAAGCTTTATAGTATTTCCAGGAAATGTAATTGATTTATTTATTGTTAGACTGAAACACTCCACCTGTCACCTGTAACCGATTCACAAGTCTGACACAAGTCTGAGTCACCCGTAAGATGAGGGTAACATGAAGTGTAAAGTGTACGTTAAGATCCATTTTTCACTAACTGGAGCATTTCTGATGTGGCTTCATTAACTATACATCCATAGTGTAGTGGTTTACACATTTGCCTAACACGTGAAGGCTCCAAATTCCTCTGGGGTAGGATCAGGTGTTAAATAAATAAATCTGCCAAATCAAACATGTGGAGCTACCTGCTGTGATGAAAGTAGCTTTTATTAAAGAAACAAACTAAAGTCTACATTTAATGACAGGAGTGTGTTTTTCTGGCTCATTTCCATCAATTTCCAGTATATAAAAGCACAGCCTGTAAACTGATGTTTACTGTTGGAAATGAGTGAGGTTTGCAGGTGTTCAGAGGGACGAATAGCCTCCTTTTTAATGCAGTAAGTGTTTAATCAATCAAGTATAAGACAGTTTAAAGGTTTATAAACAATTTTTTTTACTGATACAGTTAAGAATATTGATACAGCAATGTAAAGCTACCATAATGCACATACCTATGGACTTATGGGTCATAATGGGCACTAGATGGATTATAATAAATAGTTGAACACAACATCTGTACACAGAAACATTGCCCGATAATCCATAGAAATGTACATATACAAGTACAACATTTATAATTCCATAAATTTACGAATGACGAATCCTCCAGAATAAAATTGATATCATCCAGTATTATGGTTCTTTTTTATTTTTTTGAATTAAACACAAGCATTGACTGAATTTATAAGGAATTATGTACAGATTCCTAAACAAGAAACTCCATAAAGGCACAATTGTCTATACAACATGTACAAAAAAAAAAAAGAAAAAAAAACTGTCTGGAGCTGACAATTTGGAAAAAAAAAATTAAATGATTGGTCATCATCATCATCATCATAACTGTCATATGATTGCACGTACAATATGAATGTCAGCATCTGTGCTTTGAAAGGTGATTTGCTGAGAAACAAACCCCTGAAAAGTGTTTTCAGTCTTACAAAGTGACAAGAATTACAAAAGGAGAAGAAGTGTTTCCACTTGAGGGTTTCAGGTGGCAATGACCAGTCGGTCTTCATCGTCACTGGAGGCCTCGTTATAGTCTTCAACTACCTTCTGCCAGCTGGTCACTGGTGGCGGTCGTAGAGGTGCAGGATCACCAGCTCCTTCAGCTGCAGGCTGTTTGGGGCTGCTTGCTTGACTCTCAGGAGCTGGTGATGGATTCTGCTGGAGGGATTTTTCTCGTTCATCCCTCGCCACAGTCTGTGTGAGCTCTGCTCCACTGTTACCTCCGGGGCTAGCCCTGCTGCCTGAGGTCAGTTCTGGAGAGGAGCTGACCTTAAAAGGGGTGGGTGGTGAACCAAGCCTGTGTTCACCATGAGGTGGCTGTGTTCCCAGAGCTTCAGGGCTTCCCTGCCTCTCAGAGGACCCGGGGAGGGGACTGAGGGTGGACAGAGGGCTGAGCGAAGGAATGATGGCAGGCAGGGCAATATTTACTATTTGCAGGCCTGGGACGTGTGTCTGCGGCCCAGTGCCGCTTTGGGAGGTGGGGTTGGCAGCTAAAACCTGCACTCCGAGGGCAGCATTGAGGGTGAGGCCTTGCTGGGGCAGCAGCTGTGTGGATGCCAGGCCTGTATTGGTCAGTCCCATGAGGTTAAGTGTTTCCAGACCCACTGGCTGGATTGTTTGAGCCTGCAGGCCAGTAACCTGCCCTAGAGGGAAGCAGGGTACGACACTGCTGATTGGTTCCTGGACCACAAGTGGCTGAGTTGGCAAGCTCTCCGTTTGGGGTGGAGTGTTGGGAGCTGGCAACGGGCTCGTGTTTCGATGAATGACGCTCAAAGCTGGGATGGTGAGCTGGACGGGGCCCGCCTGGATTGGCACAAAGGTAGAATAAGCCGCCAGGCCAGCAGGGACCAGCTGGATCCCCCCAACTGGAACCATACTGTAAGAGGAGCGAGACGGCTGCTGAGAGTGCAGGGGCAGGTGACTGAACAGGTGAGTCTGGGTCTCTGCTCCCGGTGTTTGTGATACACCCTGTAGGGGGAAGTGTGAAGGAACTTGAGAACCAAAGGAGGAAGTCTGTGTGCCCCGGTCCACTGGTATACTTGACTCACTGGTTGCCACAGCAGGAGACGCAGAGGTGTCCTGTGAAAGGAAAAAAAATATCGTCACTTCTTGACATTATTTTGGCAAAACCCAAGTTTAGAAGATATCTGGATGAGTCCAGTAGACCTATAGGATTATTCACCTTTGCTCAGAGAATTCAGAGGAGTTTTGTGGAAGTGCCTTGCATGCAGGAGTCAAAGTAAGGGTATGGATAGGAAAGAAGGGAAGCAGACAGGGAGGGATGGGGGGGGACACAGTGAGAAAATAAGGGTCTCACCTGGCCTATTTTGGAGCCCTTGCCTTGCACTGGGGGACTAGGGGGCACATCAAAGTCTGGGTAGTCGATGGACATCTGCCTGCAGGGTGACACTGGGCTCATCATGTGCACCGACTCTGTGTCTGAGGTGTAGGACTCTGATGTGGTGGCAACAGGTGGAGGAGAGTGAAGGAAAGCCATTTGACTGCAGCAGGACCCCGAATGCTTGCTCAGGAACACGGGGCTCATCATGGGGACAGATTCGGAGTATGTTGTGTGGGATTCGGGAACTGGAGGCTGGGACAGAGGGAGGGAGATGGAGCTGATCGACATCTGGGCTAGGAGTGCGCTAGGAGGGACGTCAGCCTCTTTGGAAGAGATGTGCTGCGGGCTTGCAGACACAGAAGGATTGGTAGAGAGTCCCGACTCTGCCTGGCTGTCCTCCTCTTCCTCCTCGTTGTCATCATTCTCCTCATCATCAGGACCATCGGAGTCATCTCCATCTGAATCTTGGCGGTCAGCACTGCTCACCTGACTGCGGTCTCCTGCCGAGGAAATACGTGAGAAGAAAAATTGAATTCTTGTCTCTGAAATCTGCTGTACTTACACGTCATCACAGCTAGAAAAAAAACTCATTCACTAAATAACTTTGATTATCATCCAAGATTTCTTTCTTAAAGTGAGAATAAACAGCACTGAAAATCCCGCTACTCGTGGATGTTTTGTACTGCTGCTGCAGTGTTTCACACCCTACACCACCATACGCCCCTGAGCTCCATCACAGGCAGAGGAGGAAAAACAAATAAGCTGTTAGAGACTTGGACCACAGAATGTTTTCAGGCAGCCTCTCTCTCCCTCTCTTTTTTTCTAAAATTAGATGCAGCAATTTCCTCTTTCTAAACGCTGTGCATGTCGCCCACATGCGCTTTGAGTTAAGAGGAAGAAGCTGCATTTAGAATTTCTAATTAGACCGTGGCAAAGCCATTGATCGACATAGCAACAGAGCACAAGCAGGGACACTTCATGTTTTATATTTCATGCCATTAAACTATTAAAAGAAGGGCAATCCTGCTGTTAGAAATCAAAGCTGACTGTATAAGTAAATCTGAATTAAGTCAATATTATATATGCAACTGTAGTAATACAAAACTCATATTTTACAGACAAACTGTTCATCTTATAGAAGTTATGGCTTTTGTGCAATTCCCTCAAGGAAAACCCCGAGGAGCAAAGCACCGTACCAGAGTCCTCAGCATCCTGATCGTCAATTAGACCGTCAGGCACCCCCATCTCCATGCACTTCTTACTGTGGGCCTTGGATTTCATGTGCTTGGTCAGATTGCCTATAACAAAAAGGGAGGCAATGAGGTCTTACGGGTGGGTAGAGCTTGAACAATAGCACAGAAGGAGTTTATGTAAGAGTATGCGGTCTTTGGGAAAGCTCTATGTAAAGGGTGAGTAACTGATAAAGACATTTTTAAATGAACGTGGGTTGCTGACACCAAGTACTGTTCTGCAGTGTCGCGTGGGTAGGCAAGTTCGATAAAGAATGGTGAATCATACTGTCTTGGTTTAAGAGATGGTGGAATAACATTTTTAATTTCACAGCTTGTAAAAGGAAAGAGTAAATTCTTTCAGTTCCTGTGTGTTACAGATACAGAGTTTGATATTGCAAAATCAGGCGTGAGAAAGAGCTATAACTTTTAAAGACATTAACAGAACTACATTTGTTCCTGTTTATACGAGGCTGCACTAATTATCAAAAGACAAGGCAAATGAAAAATCATACATGCATGTACTGCATTTAAAAGGGACTTATTCAGCTGCATTGTACGAACTATAATCACATGGCACTCACCTTTCGTCTTAAAGGAGAAATTGCAGTGGACACAATGGTACGGCCGGACATCAGAGTGAGTACGGATGTGTTTGCGCAGCATGCTCGGCTTCTTGCAGCGAATCCCACATTCCTCACAGATGTATTTACCTCGCCCACGGCCACGTACATAAACATACTCCTCGTTAGATTTGTACCTGTGGGTTTGAAATGTAACCATGAGCACAAAATCTAACATAATGTTGCTAACATTTTGAATATAATCAGATTGTTCCGTTTCATACCCGCCATCAAATATTTTGATTCGCCTCGGTTCTGTTGTAGTGACCAAGTCCTTGTCTGAATCGTTGCTGGCTTGAGTCTCTGGCTGCACTTTACTTTTGGTTTCAACTGATACAGACTTTTGGGTTACTGGCAACTGCAGGAAAAATATGATATTTTTGGATGTGACTCAAGAAACAAGTCATCATTACAACATTATGATATTTCAGACTTTGCAGAAAGTTAGTCTTACCCTGGGCATGACATCCTTCAGCTTGCCTGAGTAAGACAAGATGTCCGATTTCCCACTTGTTTTTATGGCTGATGTGTAGTGTATTTTCTTGGAGCTCTGCTTGGAGTCAAACAAAGACATGACCACCTTGGTAGGCAACCCCAGTGGGTTAGGGTTGTTGGGTTTGGCTGTCCAGGTAGCGTATGCTGAAGTCTTCAGGTCGGTCTGTTGAACATGGAGAGGTTTCCTTTTCATCAAAAAACACCATGTGAAAGTGGTGGTGGTCTTCAGGCTGGGGAAAGACAGGCGGTGGCTGTCTTTTGTGTTAACCACAGACACAGATGTGGTCAATTTCACTTGACCACCGTGGAAACTGGAGGGCCTAATTGGGGATTTGGCTGGAGTCCACCTCTGTTCCTCAGCTTTTTCTTGAGGCTTCAGATTGTTGGCTGGCATGGAGGTTCCCTGGCTACCAAGTGTAGTATTCAGGATAGGGCTTGTCTCTTCATGAATAACAGTTATTGTATCTTTTTCTATCCCAGCACCATCAGGTGACATAGGTTTAACATCATCAGTAGCCTCTGAGTCCTTCTCCCCATCTGACTTAACCTGGGGCAGAGGTGGGGCCTCCGTCTCAATGGGACTGTCCACTGGTTCAGTTGTGCACACCTGCCTAACGAGTGTCAGCTTCCGTTGTCGGGTCACCTCCGACATCTTGGAATTAAGATAATTGACTGATCGTCCATCGGTGAGGCAGGCCACACCATGCTCATCTTTAGCTCGTTTTTGGTGCTTTTCCATGTAGATGTCCAAGCTGTTTGCAGGTGACAACATTCGTTTGCTTGATGCAGTGGGTTCCTGCTGCGGGCATAGTGTTACTGATGCCAGTTTCTGCGTGCAATGTAAAGACCCAAGAGGAGTTTGTTCTACAGTGCGGTTATGAGGGCCTCCTGTCTGAGCTTGAGTCCTATCTTTCTTTGCAGTTGTTACAACACGAAAATCACTTTCCACACTGGGAGTCGACGACAGGCTATTTTTATTGGGCACAGAGTGAGCAGGGTGGATCTGCTCGTGAGTTATCAAGATCTGTGGCAGCGGTACAGCACTTCCTTGGGTTTGATCAAATGATTCTCTTCGCTGTTCACCCGACAAAACAATCGTCTGTGTTTTACTGTCTGCAGCCTGTTGACTGGGTTGAGCTATATACAAATTTTGGATTACATCAGATGATTTTGAAATGCTCAAAATCGGATTGGCAATTGGTATTGTTAAAACTGGCAGGGCTATCTGAGCTCCCTGTGTGCCAGAGAAGGAAAAGGTTTGGCCTGTTCTCAGAGCTGGACACTGTAGTTGGTATTTGGGCACAAAATGCTTTTTTTCTTCTGTGTCAGCTGGTTTGTTTTGGATGTTCTCTCGACAAACCAAGATCTGGTTTAGTGGTTGTTGTATCTTTTGGCAAATTTGAACCCTTGATGTTTGGTGCCAAGGATGTGGAAGGCCATGGACTTGAGGCTGCTGAGTTGGGCTACCCAAATTAATGCTCTGCACCATTTGCTCATTCTTTTGCAGTGGTGGTTCTTCTGTGTGCAGGACAAAGGGCTGAGGCACTGTGCGCCTGCTAGTAATGTGAATCTGCTGGGGTCTGTTCTGAGTGAAAGAGCTAACATTTCCAATGAGAGGTTTATCTAAAGGTGCAGCAGCTTTCCTAACAGGTTGCTGACTTTCAGGTCCAATTTTTAAAGACATCTGCCGAACTAATGGCCCCCGTCTCCTTTCAATTAGTGGCACCTGGGAAAGTTGGGAGAGTTGTCCACTTTTTGGCTGTCCAGCAGGTGACAGAGATCTACTTGGAGATACATTGCCAGAGTCAAAGGATTTGCTGCGGTAGTCACATGAAATCTCCACAGAGGGTTGAGTACATGTGATCTGTTCAGATGCGGCACGCCTCATCATTCCAGGCACACCAAGGGTGTTGAAAGCTGTTGGCAAACACTGAGTCTCGGGCATTTTACCAACGCACTCTCCTCGAGAAGGACTCTCTGATCTAGATGGCTCATCTCTGTCAAAAGAGGCTGAGATGCTGGAGCCGCGAGAAAGACTGCTGTCCCTGCTGAGGCTTCGTGAGAGGCTCGATTCAAAACTGGATTCACCCGATGAATGATCCATTTGAGCCAGACGAATTCTCTTCTTCTTAGGGGGAAGTTTCTCTGCTGGGAGCTTTGACAAACTCTCACTTCTCTGAGGCCAGCTGAACTGATCTGCAGGTTTATCTGCTGGTTCAGCAGTCTGTGTTTCATGTTCTCTGTCCGGTTCCACTGTGACTAAAATCTCAGGAACTTGAATGTTATTTTGACGAACAAGGCGAGACTGATGGATAGGAGTAGAGTGTTCACCAACTGGTGCCACTGTCCTATCAGTGCACTGCTCCTTTCTTTGTTTTCCATAATCCGTGCTCTTAGGTTTTGATATGGTTTCATGGTAACCATCAGGTAAGACACCAGATGCCACATCTGATTTGGGTTTGTTCAGGGGATCCTTCTCCATGCTATCAACAGGAGAGATCCTGTCAATAGACTCCGTCTCAAAGGAATTGGGTCTGCTGAGAGAGTTGGTGTGTCTGATGACTGAAGTGCCGCTGCCTTGCCTTTGCAAGTCTCCTTTAGCAGGGGTACTGATCTGGGTCTCTCGTATTGGCGAAAGTCTGGAATCTGGAGAATTAATGCCTCTTGCTACAAGCTGTATCTGAGGTAGCTTTGGCTGGTTGATTTTGGGTTGTATATCTACTATTACAGCATGGTGAGGAAAACTCCTGTTTGCCAGAACTGCTGGTAGCTCAAAACTAACAGAGCAAGGTGCACTAGTATCAGTTGGAGACTGATCATCCTCATCACCAACACTTTTCATTTTCCTCCTCTTCCTGAATGATGTCTGTTGATCAAGTACCCCTGGCCCAGTTGTGGTTGCTCCTGCTATGGGCTGCTGTAAATTAACATGAAAAACATCTTGGTCAGTTTCTTTGGCAGCCATTGGTTTGTTTTTTGGACCATGAAGTTCAGAGCAGTAGAATTTCTTGTGAGTTTCAAAGTTCTCTAACTTTCTGTACCGGTTACGACACGTTTCACACTCATACATCGTGCCTTTAGTCTGCTGAGGTTTTCTGTTTCTTTCCTGACTGTGTTCAAAAGACCTGCTTCTTTGCATGTGCTCTGCAGAATTGCTTTGTCCGATATAGCTCTCATCCATGGAGCGAACAGAGGGGAGACCATGTCTCTCATTGTGGGAAAAGTCCTCTACTGCTATTTGTCTGACCAAGGTACGAGAATGCATTGCAGGATTTGGGGTTGATGGAGCTGATGAAAATACATCGTCATTTAGTGCACTAATTTTGTCATCACATGACTGGCTGCTGCGCAAAGGATGGGGGACAGCAGCAACATTAAGGGGAAGAGCAGTGTGTCCTGGTGTAGTAGGCATAGAGTTGCTCCTTGTTATTGGCAAACAATCCATCGGTGGGTATTGGGGGGGTACAGAAAGAAGAAATACTGGCTTTGATTTATCTGTGGGAGTGAATGGAGATTTGGGGATGTCTGAGCTGGAACTTGACCTTCTTCCCATTGGTTTAAGATCAAACTGAAAAGAGTCTTTAAATATGTATGACTTCGGGGAGTCTATGCTACCTCTCCTTGAAAGAGAGGTCCTCCTTGGCTTTACACTGTCCAGCTGCTTGTTGTCAACTACTATCTCATTATCAGATATCAACTTTGTAATTCGTTCTTCTAAAGAGCGTGCACTGGCTTCTAATCGTGGACGCATTTGTCCGTCTATTGCCCTTGGTCTCTGCTCATGTGCTACATGCATGACTGAGGCAACCACAGGAGGGACATTAGGAAGAGTGTTCTTGGCAATATCAACATCTACTGGTGGAGTTATCTTTACAAATGGACTGGGTGGACTCATGGCCTGATCAGCACTTTCAGAACGTGAGAAGTAACCTGAATCAGTGCTTCCCAAACTACGTGGACTAAGTAGACACTTAGGCTGTTGCTGCTGAGAAAAGTCTGTTGCTTGTTGCCGCTGAAGCTGAGCATGCCCACTTAACAGTGGAGACTTGCAGTGTTGGTCTTCATCTTCACTGACGGTTTCTAGTAAGGGATTTGCACCATCCACCCCTTTCAGAGATGACAAGACTGTGATATTCGATCTCAGACTGGCAGTCTGGAAGTCTCGTTGTCGTTGTGCAGCAGCTTGCTCAGGTGCTGCTCCTGTAACTCTTGGACTATCTGCCCTCAGGGGGGAGACATTAACTGGGTACACAACAACTTTTGGGAGTGCAGCTGTTACTTTAGGCTCGTGAGCTCTCTGAGCTGGGGATGATTTGACTGAGTCAGAAACACCGGATAAGTCCACTTCCCCATGGTTGGCTTGTGTTCCACCTGCACTCAGTAAACTGTTTTCAGACAAAGCAGCCACACTGCTCTGTGACGAGTCGGGGTCTAAGTCGGCAGTGCTACCTTCCTCATCGCTGTCTCCACTCTCCTCTGCCTCTGAATGTGTTCCTGTGGTTTTGTCAGACTCTTGAGATAGCGATCCACCTCCTGATTCGGAGCGTGCAATGAGACCCAGTTTTATGGCATGAGCATGTGATTTCTTGTGCTTGTACAAGTTGCTCTTGGTTTTGAATGAGAAGCCACAAGTAACACAGGGATATGGCCTTTCTCCTGTGTGAGACCTGATGTGTTTGAGCAGCACACTGGGTTTTGCACATGCCCGGTTGCAGTATTCACAAACGTACTTTCCTGGTTTTTTAGGCTTTTGGTCCTTGGAGACCTGTTCAGCACCAAAGGTCATAACAGTGGTCATCTGAACTTGGTTGCTGCCTGGTGTAACTGGGACCTGAATACTGCTGGGAACACTGGCTGAGAGGGACTGGCATGTGTGCACAACTGGTGGTTGGCTTTGTGGCAAAGCACTTGAGCCAGAGGGAACAGGAGCATGAGTTATAGTAGATGGTCCTGCATTAAAGTTTATGTGCAAGCTAGGATTTTCTGGATTGGAAGCAACGGGCATAAAATGCGGTGTAGCAAGGGGAGCGGTACCCTGTGGAGCTGTTTGTAGATTTCCCTGTATTGGCGCTGCAATGCCAATGACATTGCCCTGTTTGTCAATATAATAGGTCTGCATATGGGAAGGTTGGGTCTGGAGACCAACATTGACACCTGGCATTGCTGTGATTTCACCACTGGCTTTACCGATGGCTGTGACCTGCGTCGAGGCTTTTCTCTCAGCCAGTGTGCTAAAATCAGGCTCCATGGCCTTAAGTAGAACATCAAGTGGAGCGCTGTTGGCGTAAGGATCTCCGTCAAAGCTGGAGTCTTGGCTTTTGCTTTCTTTAGGCTTTAGAGTTCCTTTAGCAGTAATCAGAGTGTCCTCCTCACCAGCTGTGAGCTCAAGCGATGGTGGCCTAGAAGATGATTTTTCCTGCTTCAGCCTTTCAGCCTCAGCAGAAAATGACCCCTTGTCAGGGGACGCTGCAACTGGTTGAGCATACTTTTGGTCACTTTCTCCACTGGGCGATGTTGAAAGATTGTGGGAAGGACTGTTGGAGGAGGAGGAGCAAGAATGCGGAGTTTCCTTGGACGAAGATCCTCGGAGAGCAGATTCAGCAGATGTTTTTGACTGCAGGGGCTTCTTCACTGGAGATTTTGGAATTTTCTTTAGCTGATTCTCTGCAACAACCTTCTTCCTCTTAAGACCCTTTATGCTGTCCGCATTTCTTCGACTGCTGTCAGATAGCCCTGTGGAGACAGAGACAATAATTAAGGTGGTATAATAACCATTTCCTTCATCTCCTCTCTTCCAGTGCTACCACAAAGAGTTAGCACAAACGACATTATTGAAAAAATTAACTTCTACTGCTGACAACCTTGGCTTATAAAATGAGTTTAAATGTAATCTCTATTGGACACAGGAAATAACTCTAATGCCATTTTGAAAATCATATTTTTCGTATAACTAACTCTTCTTGTTCCATGAAACTAAAACAAAAATGCACACAGGAAAAGAAAAAGATCAACAGCTCACACACTACAGTGCTTCTGTTTTACCCCTTTATAGCACATGAAGAATGTTTGAAACGCACTTTAATCTCAATACCAGCACCATCTTCCAACTGGAAACAATAAAACAAGTAGACTGCAGTCTATTAAAATTACTGACTGTTCTGTTTTTGCTTTATTTCCCACTATTTAAATAAATTAACTACTTTTACTATTAATTCTGTACTATATAAGCTGTGTTATCTCCAGTGACAAATTTAGTGACAAATAGTGACACCATTCTGGATCATACTGCACAGTTACATAGCAAGATAATCATTTACATGTACATGTGTTATCATTTTAATCCAACTGTAAAACAAATACATAACATTTGTGGTTTTTATATATAAAAATATGTCTTAAACAGCTTTTTGAGAGCTTCAACATTCCAGTTGTGAAAGCTTTCTCTGCAGCCTACTTTGTTTTCCATCAGCTTATCGATAATTTGTTTTATTTAGATAATGATAGACGTATACTACAGTGAAGATACTTCGCCCTCGCACTCGTTAGCTGTGTGACTAATACCACAGAGACCCCACGCTTTATTATGCAAGTAACAGTCATTTCTTGCCCTTGTTGATAAGAAATGTTGACCTATGAAGGCTCGGCTGATCAGAAAATGGTGCAAATAACTAGCGTATAACAAAGTACATCTGCGTGCTTACTGAGCTGCATTCTTATAATAATAGGTGCACTGTTTTAAAAAAGGGCACACCCATGCAATGGTGTCCCATAATAATGACTGAGGCAAGTGTTTTCATGGGCATGTTGCACAAGAGTAGCAGTGTCACAGCCTGTCACAGTTTCCTGGCCTGTGTAGGTATTTCCCAAGATGACTTCAGGGTTCTTTCAAGGGCTTCCCTTTACATAAGTAAATCCATTCTCCACGCAACCATGCAACTAGAGAGGCTTTAAAACTGCCATGCAATCAATATAACAAGGTCTTCTGAACAAACCCTGTTTTTTAAAATAACCTTTTCTAATTGATGCTTAAAAACAATCTTTGTACAAACTGTAGCTAAAAGACATGGGAAAGGCAATATTTATTCATCCAAACTACACAAACCAGTTCTCAAAGGGACATGACTTCACCACAAGTTTTCCATCATTAACAGTCACCGAGATAAACGGCCCTTTTTGTTAACCTTCTCCTCATTTCTAAACACTCTTATTTTCCTGTAACTGCATTAAAATAATATATTTAATGTAAAATAAAGGCGATCCTTTAGTTATCTAGACCAAGGGCAATTGACATACTTCTTCATACGGCAGGTTGCCAAAGAGATTACCCTTTGACTTGCTGGCAGTGATAAAACTACCTGCTGTACTTTAAGAAGTGGACTGAGATATTTATACCCTGTTTAGAATCACCACCCAATCCCATTTACAGTGGATGATTCAATCAAAGGTTGAGTGTCATTAAAAGGAAAATGCACAGCAGGCTGATTCTCAGGCACAGCTTAGTCAAACTGGCTTTTCTATTTCAATGTAGTTACACAACAGTCCACTTATCAAAGAATCTGTTCATGTGTTCAGTCGGGGCACAATGGAAAGATTACTGAGAATTTATGCACACAGATCAAAACAAAGGAAACATTTTATGGTAAATACACTGGTCCTTATATAGTGCTTTTCTACTCTTACTGAGCACTTAAAGTCCTCTTAGGCGCACACAGCGCACTCTTCTTTGCAGTTGAGCCATTTTTACCCTTTACGTACACGCTCTAACACCATCTTGCCCAAAGAAAATCAACACAGAGGGCTAGAGGAGCTGTGGATCAAACCCTGATCTTCTGATTAGTAGATGACGCAATTCTCCAATTTAATTGCCGGGTTCATCTTTAGAGGAGACGGATAATAATAATTTATATATTTTTTATTATTTCAATTTAACTGCAGCATTATCACATGATTATGAATGGATCGTGAACAAAAAAATAAATAAACTCCATCCACCAGATCACTGGCAGCCCATCGTGGTTTAGGGGTTGAATTTGGCAACAGCGTCACACACCTGTGAAAGGCTACGTCGTACGCTCTACATAGATTCACTGCAGAAGTATAAATCACACATTTCACTGGAGACCAGGTAGAAATTACAAGTTCACACCAACCTGGAAGCATCAACAGCTCTACAGTACTTGGTAGTTAAATATCTAATTGCTTTTAAAGAAAACCTTAAAATTTAAATGGGACATTTTTGTGCAACCACATAAACATCTGCCACTAATATCTGCTTTCATGCTCAGAAGACATGATAAATGCATCAACAGTCTTCACTAAAATAAAAAATAAAAAACCCACACATGATGTTTATAAGGGCAGTTACCTCTGCTCTCTTTTTACCTTTAAATACAGTACTTATATCAGGTTTGCAAGCCTTTCTAACATTAGCTGTACCTCTTACAATAAACACGAGTTCAAGCACTTTATTACCATAAAAACCTTAATGAGTCTGCCTGTTTAAATGCAGGATTTATTCATATTAATAACAGTAAATCACTGTTGTTTTTACTTTTTTATTATAATTTTTTTCAGTGTTTTTGCCCGCGTACCCTGAAGCACTTTGGGTTTCCTCTGGGTGAAATGTGCTTGCCGTGCCTCACTGATGTGACCGATGTAATAATCTTTCCTTTCCACATCAGTGATTTTGCATTTATTTTGCGCTTTTTGCTTGTGCTTTATTTTAGGTTAAATTACTTATTTAATTCACTTTAAACCCTGAGGTGGTGAAAGAGAAGATATTCTACATTAAAAATGAAAGAGAAAGCTTTCCTCACAGTTCTCTGGAAATTGCAAGGTTTGATAAGAGATCTCTTACCTTTCTGTGAGCCTTTGGGGTCTTTAAGCTCTTTCTGTGCCTCCTCGATTTTATCTGCAACACAAGAACAGAAACCATTTTCAGCACAGAGCAGCGCGCTCGACAGTCGAGGCAGTGCAGAATGAACTAATGATTCTGGGGATGCTTCCCACACGGCTGCAGCAGGATGAAGGTCTTTCAAATGAAAAACAGACATTCTTCCATAGCAGAGAGAGTGCACTATTCCATTATGGAAACTACTGTAATCATATGAAGGGGGGCGCACACAAAAACACAATCACGCAGGCACACCCACTTACAGAAAAGAGCAGTACGAGGGTGTTTGATACACAGATTAAGTTTGCAAACAAGTCTATAAGGTGGGTTCGTTGTCATTATCACAGTGTGCACTCTAACCCACAGATCAATTTGCATATTTAACTGCAGTTTTGCCCCTCGGGGGGCACAAGAGTATTCAATTCAGCTCTTCTATATGTCACAGCATATCACCCACATCCAGCAGGTTAAGAACCTGTTTTTGTATGACCCATATGGATGTGTGGGAGGTGACGCAGTACTGTAATCAATATTAATTATATAGACTGGCTCGTTGTGGCGTGAGTGAGTTATACACAGTGGAATAGAGGCAAAGAGATGAGTTAAATCCTCTGGTTTCCTGCTCTTGCAGGGTCACTGCCACTGGCTGTGGGAGTGAGGAAGGATACAGAATATGAAAGTACGTGTCCAGCACTCATTATTTCTAATTTATGTTCAAAACTCTGACTTCTTCTCCAAGTTCAAGCAACAGGCAGACATATTTATTCATTAAAACCATAACAATAAAAAAATGCATATGAAAAATGAAAGTGCAAACTCATTACTTTCAGGAAATCTGATGGACCATTAGCAGCTCTTTCTTCTTTTCCTCACTTTCTATTATGCAAAACATATTCTGAGCTGTTTTGACAGCTTTGTTTCCTGGATACTGCAGTAATTTGACTTTTTTTTTTTTTTTGCAGGCTTCTATAAGCAAAATGTAAAATTCTGCATGTAACACACAATACCAGAGCCTGGCCACTACTGTAGCATGTACGTGCCTTCCCAAACCATCCATGGAAAATGGATGGAAAAACAAACCCACAAAGACTTCTATGGCCTGCTTCTGACATTAGAGTGCAAGCGGAGTCCTTGAGGACCGGTGGGAGTAATTTTGCACAAATGTTAATGGAGAGTGAAAGAGGATGTTCCTCTGTGGTTCCCAAATTTACAGTCCAATGCCGGGAATACTCAGAGGGGAGGACACAAGCAGGCCACAGAGGAGGTCAGGGATTATGTCATCATCTCTGTGTGTTTGTGTTACTATAGTCACACCCTTCTCAGTCTCTCTCCCTCCCTATATCCCAGGCACACGCCGTGAATTACATAATGCGTCCCCACCCCTGCGCTGCTGTAGAGCAAAACAAAGGCACCCTGCCAGCAGAAACACAGCAACCGAGGCACACGAGGAGAGGGTAGAGCGTTTGTTTATCTGCACATCTTTAACAAAATGGTAGATAAAAAGAGAGCAAAGACAGAGGTACGCATTTGTTTACATATAAATGACCACGTGAACGCCCTTGGCATCCAAAGGCAAAGGAACTGCTGTGTTTTCCTGGCAACGAAGGCGGCACGGTATTTCTCCAAACAGAGAGGATCCCGAAGCTTCCCTCAGAGTCATGGCTACCACGGCTCACCCTCACGGCTTCCTCGTGTAAATATCTGTGCTGCTGCAAACCAATTTGAGATAATAAATGCTTATTTTAGTGGTCGGGAGGTTCCGAGGTAGACTTCAGAGAGCATATGCTTCATAGTCTACACAGCGTGATATACATATGTCTCGTATTAGAGCGCGCTGGCAAACAAGGGCGTAAGTGATTACTGCCCACCAAAAATCTTATTAGTGGTTGTGTATGTTAGGAGAGCGGAGTGTAAGCTATCATAGAGCATATTCTTCTTCTTACATAACAAGCTGCAAACACGACCCCCTCGCGCTGAATGACACCCATGAAGTCGAGCTCTGGAGCGTGGAAAAGATCAGGAAACCCCAGCGTGGGTGAGTGGAAAGGGGCGAGGCAGCACTACCCTCAATAAGGACGAGAAAAATATTCTACTCAGAGCGCCCGAATTATTAAACAAGCAGGGAATTATTATGGGGTTGCTCATATTTGCCTCATTATGGCTGCTGGGGTTGCTGAGGTAGTGTGGGTGAGGGCTACATGTGGGCTTTGCGACCATCCCAGTGCCATCTAAAAGAAAAAATTGGTGTAATTGTACCATAACCTCAGCAAAAACAGCACAAAGGAATCCATACAAAATGTTAGTAGTGATGAAAAGCAGAGAGCTGCATTGTGTAACATGACCACAAAATTTGAAGGAAGCGAGAAAAACAAAAAAAACACAGTTTGAGGACATTAAAGTCAGACAGAGCCACTTATAGGGCAACTGCTTACAAGTGTGGTTTTAAACAGAGCATAGAAGGGAAGAAAAACTATTTGTAGGATCCTTGAACTGCTTTTTAAAAACACTGTGCTGTACATACTCCAATTCTTTTGGCTCCTTCTAACCATTAAACACAAAAAAAAAGATCATCGCCCTTACAAAGCACATTGGACTGCTGCCCTGGGAGTTTGGTGCGCTTAAGTAGACTGTACTGTAAGCAAGAGGCTTTAATAATTTAGTGGACCATGGATCGATATGCAACTTAAACATGCAGTGGTACTTTGTCTTACTTAAATCACAAAGGAGTCTGATGTGCAGCTGATGACTGTAAAGAGATGTACAGGTTGTTCTGTTCTCCTACAAATGAAACAACAGGACAGCAGCGAAACGCAGATGGAAGTTCGCCCTCAGTCTCGAGGGTGCCGACTCCTGATCTTTGATCTATAAAACGTGATATCTCAGGATATGATCAGGCTGGGAGAGGCCTGAGTGGGCGGGTGCATGTCAATTAGGCTGAGGTTAGTGGGCGAGGGAGTCAGTCTCCTCTCTGGTTGCTGTCATGACAACCACGAATCTTTAATGCCCCCCCCGCTCGATATCTTCCAGCCCACTCCTCTCTCTGTGCTGTCTACGATGACTAGGAAATATGATTACCGTTACCCCCAGGGCAAAGATGACGTAACGGCAAAGAAAACGTTCACACCTTTCGATACCAGCGCCCACCTGATGTGAGTTTACAACCTTGCACTTCTGGGGGGGGCGAGGAGTGTTGGGTAGGAGGGGAAGCCCATCCAAACAGATGAGCTGCAGATCTAAACTTCTAAAAAAAACAAACAACCTATGTCAAACTAGATCCCCACCCTCCTAATGGATAATAATAATATTACATTTCACCCTACATCGAGCAGCATCACAACTGCATCTCCCTGGCACTGGATCCCCGCTGAGAGTCCCTCTGCCTGTTGGCCAACAAATAACCACCAGGCTCATACACCCTCCTCCCGTCACTGCCAGCTTGTAAAAATTCATATTTTACTCAACAGCCTTCCCTGCTGGGCCTCGCCGAGCCAAATGGCGGCCATCGACAGCACTGTGGCAGCGTTTCATGGCAGCCATATGCACAAAATTCACGTGTTTCAGATGGCCCCAACAGTTTGGCTTCAGCTTCCCCTGTTATAGCATCAAAGATGCGTGTGGGGAGGGGGATAATTGTTTTTCACAAAAACAGCATCTGCGAGGGGTTTGAGGTGTCATCAGTATGCGCGACACTACACCAGCACGCCAACGAGAAGCCCGAAAACTGCTGCTGGACCATAGTTTGAGCCGTCTTTTTAATCACGTCTGAGGTACTAAATTAGAACAAATTCTGTGGAAAAGGTTGGTGTCGTGTCCGTGATAGTTCGATCCAGATAGGTGGACTGAAGTGCCTGAAGCTGATGTGTGGATGATAGCAGGAAGCAGGAGGACAGCGGGCGCTTATTGCTGGATCAAACGGGAAAGAGGAGAGGAAGAGGAGAAGGAGAGCGGAGATGACAAGATGGGATTCGGCAGCTGCCCCCCTCTTCGCTGTCACTGCGCGGGAGGGAGTTTGGGATTATGTAACTCGAGCACCTCCACCAGCCTGCTGTACCCACCCGGCTCTGTGCAAACACTCACTCACACGCTACCATCAAACACCCATCAAAGACACCCTCACACTAGCTGATGCATGCGCTCACTCACAGACGAGGACATTTTCCAACTCCGTAAAAATGGGCAATCGATGGTGATAATTAGTTGAGCAACCATACGCTAATTAGCAAATAAAGCACACTGATCATTTATGCATAATTAAGTCATTTATTAAGGAATATATGGTACTCCACATTCCCTTCCTCCAGCTGGTTTTCTCTGCTTTGTTTACAGATCATTAACTAAATAATATTAAAAAAGGTAAATGAATTCATAAATTAATAACAATTTAAAAGAAACAGTAGATTGACTGAGAATAAAAACAATTTATTGCAGTCCTGCTTCGAAACAGCACTAAAGCATTGAACCTATTCAGGTAACTGTGGGTAAGACATTTGCTGTTTAGATAATGTTCCTGCTTTTGTTTGTCTTGTGCAGCTTTTAAAAGAAATCTGGCAGTTTCACATTTGGCTCAGGGGGCCAAGAAATCAATTTATTGGCAAAAATTATTAAGAAAGGATTGTCAGCATTAAGTGAGAGATAAAACAGGCATATACGGTAGAAATCAAAGCTTATCTGTCCTTTAATTGATTAGATAACAGACAAAATCCACAATTTACTTTATTTCCTCATAAAATATTTAGAAATCTGCTCTCAGTTGTGTCTCATTTGATACCAATTCCAACAATATGGGTTCATGAACTGTTTTTAAGGAAAAATTGGCAACATAAACATCTTTTTTTTAATTACTATTACTTTACTTGCAAAAAAAGATTAATCAACAAAGTACTTAGCAGATTAATGAAATTAGTATTTCAGCTGTGCTGTACGTAGCTTCTCCTTACAGTCTTTTAATTTGGTTCCCTCTGATTAGAGCAGGATTAATAGACAGAAAGGCTGAAATCATGCCAGTTGCACCAGCTGTA